TATGCTTTTCCGCTTCCGACACTCCAATGGGGTGAATAACAAAGTTGGTTGGCCTTGGTTGTTATAGCAATAAGTATAAGCAAGAGCCTCTCTGCATACCATGCCTGGGCATCAACTATAAACATAGGTCTTATCACTCTGAGAGAGCGAACATTGTCTGCACAATATGCTGTTAATTTCAGTAGTTAGAAGAGGCCTAGCTAAGAAGCAAAGTTACTGAACAAAATTGGTCCTGTTTTACCTCAAACCAGGACAGCTGCCCAGTGCTTGATGTTGGTCAGGCTCCACTCCTGAATCACTTCCTTGGCCTTCTCATCCACATGCACGTGGCGATTGAAAGGCACAGACTCCGATATGCAGGATCGAAATCAACTTTATTAAGCAAGTGTTTTCTTTATAGACTTTTCTACCAAGGCCAGTAATTTTCTACTTTACTTGTTTACACCATCACATATTCTAAAAGATCATGTTCCCACCGAGAAGGGAATCTCTCTTCCCTGTGAGCAGCACCTCCTTATCTAGGGAGTAGCTTCACACAACTTCATCTTCTGCCATAACAGTACTGCAGCTGCTTATTCCTCCCTATTAGTTCTACCACACTTAACCCTTCTTTTGCCTCAGTCCCCACACACGCATTACACACTCCTTGGTGATCCCCAGCAGCCGCGGCACCAGTTTGTTCTTCCCCTTCATCTTCTCCTGCAGGCAGTAACAGAAGGGTTACGGACTGCTCCTGGGACAGATCTGTCCAGGCAGACCTTTAAGGCCTCCCTTGGCTACCAAACACCCCCAAAGCCATACTTTCAGATGGCGACAACCATGACGTGGAGCTTGAAAATGAGAAAAAGCGTGAACCAAGAAGTGGGAAGGCAACGCATAGGGAAGGCCAAGGACAGATAGCGGGGACACAGGGAAAACTGGAGCAATGTGGGTTGATGGGTAGCAGCTCAACAACAGACAGAGAGATGCTGGAGAAGGGAAATTTTTGCCAGGGAAGCCACTGCTCTACTTTGACCAGGAAGAAGAAGACCCCATAGGTCTTGAGGGAACGAACAAGTTTCACATAGTGAACTTTGGCTTCAATCTCACTCATGTTCCTGTAATTCTTGTGGGCCTGCGACAGCAAAGAGAGAACACCATGCTAGCTCCATGGTCCCCTGGCTGTGTCACCATTACCTTCTCATTGCCTTTCCAGGCTCTCTCTGCCCCACCAGCATCCCCTGCCCCTGCTACAGCATCCCTCTGAGACCTCAGGAGCTGCCTTGTCTGCACACCTACAGCTTCATGCTCCCATTTCTCAACCGCCAAGACACTACATGCTGCCTCCAGGAACAAGAACAGCCTCAGCCTCAACCTTTGGCAAGGAGGAACAAGAAGCCCAGGTCTTAACATCTCCCCTGCACATACCATGAAGATCTTGCATTCTCTGCTTGATGTACTCCTTGGGCAGGAAATCCTTGAGTCTGCCAAGAGACAGCCAAGCCAAGCCAAGCCAGCAGACCAAAAGCCAGCATTTGTCTTCACCTACAAAGAGGCCCAACCCAGAGCCTTAGACAAACCCTTGCCAGGACACAGGCTGGGAGCTTTTGGGAGCAGGAAGGATGTGGGAGAGGTTGCTGCAATAATGAAAGCTGCCCCAGGAGCCACCCTGCTGAGAGCAGGATGGAGGTTCTAAGGATGCAGCTCCACGCGCAGCATCAGGGGAGGCTGTACAGCAGGCTGAGGTCACCCCCATTAGAAAGGAAGCTGGCTGCATGTCCCAGAGAGGTGCCAGAGGGAGCAGGACAGGGGGCTGGCACCCCTTGCAGCTGGTGTGGACCTCCACGCTTGGGCACTATGCTGCAGGAAGGAGAGAGGTCACTCCAGAGACATCTGCATCCCTGAGTGCTGTGTGCTGGCGCAGTGCTGGGGGCTGCCAAGCTGCTTGAGCCACCTGGAGACAAGCCCAGGGGCTCCCTGGGACACTCACTCCAGAAATCCCAGCTTGTGCTTTTGCTCATTGTGCAGCCCAAACTGGATCCGGCACTGGTAGCCAGCAAACTCGCAGGTTTTGTCAAAGGAGACAGGGTGGGAACCATTAAGGATGTCATCATGAGCCTGCATGGGAAGAGAAGACACCGCTGCGGGCTGGGCAGCCACGCAGCCCTGACAGTGCTCCACACTGGGCAGAACCTGTTTTCCAGACAGAAAAGAAGTGGTCATGAAAAAGAGGAGGATCTAGGGGCAGGCTGTCCCCTACAGGAACCACCACCATGCCTGGGAGAAGAACAGCAGCAGGACTTCAGAACGGTTCCTACCAGGCAGAGGAGACACAGGATCCCCTGGGGAGCTCTAGAGTATGCAGAGGACAAGGCTGGGATTGCCACCGTTGGCTCTTACCCAGGAAATCTCTCCCAGGAGATAACTGGGTATCCTGAAGTATCCCCTGTGGTGGCTCCCAGCCAAAACCCTCAACTACCAGCCCTGGCAGGGGGCTGGCACAGGGCAGCGGAGAGAGGTGCTCCAGGGTGCTGTACCTGCACGTAGAGCAGGTCAAGCTGCACAGGATCTCACGAGTCCACATTCCGGTCAGAGTAGAAGAACTTGTGCCGTAGCAGCAGCGTTTCACTGTTGTCAATGCCTTGCTCACCCAGGGTCTGGCTGTGGTCCAGCCAATTCACTGCAGGCAATACCAGGGTGTGAACAGGGATGGATACCCAGGCAGGGCTGGTCCCAACCCCGGGGATGCTCATGTGAAGCAAGAAATGGATGTCCATTTGACGCATCTTGGCTCTCATCCCTCTGCCCTTAGGCCTCCACACAGGAGAGACTCCAAGGAGCGTGGGCACATGTCCCCTCATCAGAGTCCTCTCCACTCCCCTGCGTTGGGTCTTCCCCTTGCGGGGATGGGGCCCTGCTCCCCTCCCTGCCCACCAGCTCTCCTCCCTGCTGCCTTCGGCACAGGCTGACCCCGTCCCCAGCATGTGCAGGCACGTACACCCGTCATCTGTGTGCAACTTCTGCTTGAGCTTCTCCATCTTCTTCTCATCTCACAGCAGGTCTTGTCCTTCTTGAGGGTGCCAGTAACCTCCTCCTCCTTCTCTTCCATAATCTCCCGAACAAGTGAGTACTCATCGTAGTTGTTGATGCCTGCAGGAGCGCAGAGGATCGAGCTCAGTGAGACATCACTGCCAAATACAGAGCGACGCAGGGGGGCAGAGCGGTGTCCCCTCCCCAGCATCACACACCCCTCAGATATCCCCACTGCCAGGCTATTTACCACAGAGCTGCTGCTGGTACCCTGGTACCCCCTACCAGATGCTGCCATCCCCACTTCCCTCCCTCCTCCTTGCTGCTGCCCCCTCCTCTTACCAATCCTGTCAGTAGCATGTCCATGACTATTTTGGAGTCATCCACCATCACCGTTTTCACTGTCCCATCCAGCATGCGGATCTTCAGGGGTCGCTGCTTCTTCTTGTACTCCATGGTGTCCTGTGGGCACAGCAGAGCACAGCTCCCAGCAGCAGCACCAGCGCAGGCTGCCCGCATCCCACCGCCGCGCCGACAGCTCCCGTCTCCCCAGCACAATTGAGAGGGGGATGTGGGGTACACCCAGGCATGATGCCAAGCACCAGCAGCATCTCCTCACTATGGGCACATTCAACTGCAAAGCCAAGGTGGGTACCAGCTGGAAGGATGTGGGATAGATGCTTACCCCATTGCGAAGCATGTAGTAGTCCAGAGCCTTCCCAGCCTCCAGCCAGATCCCTTTCTTTGGGTCTTCATCCGAGAGGAACAGCCCAAAATCATTGGCTGAAAAACAGGTAGAGTCTCTGCCAGGGTAATCCTCAGCAGGACAGGGCCACCAAGATGCTAGCCTGTGCCCAGGGATGTGCATCGGTGCAGGCCAGCGCACGAAGCGCAGCAGCACTGTGAACGCTGGCGCCTAAACCCAATGAGTGGGCAACAAAGCTGGCAAGCAAGCTCTGAGATACATGTTTTACCACAGTTATCTATGGAAATAAATCATCTGAAGCATGCCTACACAATGCTGAACTTGGAACTGATAGTCACAACAGAAGGAAGAGCTCGGAGTTGTGGCTGACAGCTCTCTGAAATCTTCAGTGCAACGTGTAGCAGCAGTAGTGAAAGCAATGTAACAAAACGCTGGGGATCACCAGGAAGGGTGCTGGGAATTGGTCTTTAAAAGCTAGGCTCATCCACACTTTGATTAGTACTCTGAGGTGGTGTGGTCTGCACCTCCCCAGAAGGACGCAGCAGAGTTTGAAAAGATACAGAGAGAGGCAACTTAAATGATGGAGCTTTAGTACGAAGGACTAAAGGAGCTGGGAATCCTCCATTAGGGGAGGAGGAGGCTGGAGGAGGATGGGATCAAGGCTTACAAGGTCTCAAAGGTGGTGAATAAGTGCTTTTCACCAAATCCTGCTCCTCTGGGGCCGGGGTACCCGGCGGAAGTGCTGCTGCTGGAGCCCAGGCATGGCACCCCAGCTCAGACGCACAGGCATAGCCCTGTTTTCATGCTGCAAGAGGCCACGACCACGCCTGGCTTTGCCTTGTGAAAGGTCCTTCTCCACCTTTCAAGAACCCTGCGCCGCAGGCTGTCTTGGCTGGCTAAGTTTGTAAAGCGTCATCTCGTTGGCAGCTCTCTGCGGGGAGGGACAAATTCCTGAGCCGCCCCACTCCTGCCTGGCTAACGCTGCTGTTAGGCTCCTACTAAACAGGGAGCAGCAGAAAAATCACAGAGGCTTGCCATTTTATTTTTAAATTAAAAAAAAAAAAAAACAAACAAAAAACAGCACTATTTTGAAAGCAAATTCCAAGAGGATAACTCTAAAGCACTGAAAACGGAGCAGTTTGCCCCAGATCCGTAGCTTGGGCGGGGAGAGGCGCTTCCCGAGACAGAGCAAGAGCAGAGATGGAAACCTACACCGAAGCTCCCCCAGTCTAAAGTTGACCAAAAAAAAAAAAAAAAAAAGGGCAACCAAAAAAAAACCCCGCCACTGGGAAGGAGGGCAGGGAGAAACAAGAGCTGCAGGGAACCGACAGGAAAAGAAAAGCTGTGAGCAATTGAAAAGGAACTCGGGAATAAGCAGTTCCCTTTAAGGCTTTCCCCTTGCCTTTTTTTTTTTTTTCTTCTGTAAGCAGGCTGGCTCACGCCCAGCAGCAGGAAACGCAATGCTCCCTCGACAAGGCTACAGCCCCACATCCACACAAACATCCAGTCCCCTCTCTGAAACCGAAAGCCCGTGGTCTGCCGGACCGCTGGCCAGCTGGGCACGACGGAGAAGGCATTTCCTTTCATCCTCGAGGAATTTGCTGCTCCCAGATGTTGCCGCGCTCCCCCTCCTCCTCTTCCCACGACTCCTGACCTCCTGTTCGACGCCTCTCCCCTGTGGCACAGCCGCTTTCGGAGGCGGCAGAGACCCAGGAGAGCCCACGAGATGATGTCCCAGTGCTCCAGCCCCCCCACCCACGCCAGGGACAGGCCATGTCCGCGTGGGCGTGAGTCACATCATGAGCTCATGAGGCATAAGCTTAATTTTGAGCCTGGCAGCAGCACGGAAAAAGTAGATCTGAGAAAGCTTAGCAAGGTAATAGCAAGGTAACAGAGCACCCGCACAGGCCTGGCAGAGAGCTGCTGGGGGAGGCGGGGGAGAGGACCTGACAGAGGACTATATATCCCCCAAGAAAGGAAAAATTAACTTACATGGTTTATTAATGCTCGCTATAACCCCTGCAACTGTTTAAACCCACCCAGTCCTGGCTAGTGGTGATGGACGCAAGGAGGAGAGAGGAGCAGACAGAAAGGACACCAGGCTCAAAGAGCTTGACGAGTTATTTCACTTCCAAATGTGTTCTCCTACCCCCCAACCCCCAAAATTTCTTCTGGGGTGTTGAGGAGGGAGCCCGAGGAGCTCAGCCCATGACCTCAACTGGGCAGGAGGACTTGGACCTTGCTCCCCCAACCCTTCCACTGGTCTAGGAAAGTCCAGATGGGCACGGAGACTAGAGAGGGAAGGGAGACTGGTGAAATGCCAGGAGCTAAGCTAGGGTGGCCCTGGCACGGCAGCCA